TCCCGAGCTCCCGCCCACTGCAGCCACGTGGGAGGCCAGGCAGCGCCCGCCGTGCCGTCACGACGACCGAGGATGGACCCAGGCATCCGTCAGATAGACAGCCCCGGGTGGCTGTCGGTGTGCTGCCAAGGCCGAGCGCCCACCCGGAGACCAACCTCCCACGGACCCACCAACACGCCCCATGGAGCGAAACGCTTCCTCTCTTTTTAGAAAAACTTTGCAGCATTTTATGTGTTGTCTCTTCGTTTGCTATATTTTAATCAGTTCAAGGAGTTCAAGCAAACAGACAGATTAAGTCAATAACCAGAAAATAAGGAAATGCAGAGAAAGAAACCTCAGAGAGCAGAGCTGGGCACCCTCCTGCCCCCCCTCCCCGCCCCCGCCCCAACCCCAGGGACAGCAGGCCCAGTCAGGACTCCAGTGAGCTGTCTGAGGCCTGCAGGAACCCAGGGACAAGCAGGGCCCAAGGCGTGACACCTCCTCTCTCAAGGTGCTCGGGGAGAGATGTGTCCTCAAGCCAGACACCAAGACAAACTCCACGGCAAGACGCAGCAAAATGCTTTCAGCAACGCATGGCCGACTGCTGGGCCAGAGCCGCCGGTCCTGACTTCTACGTCACCTGTGGTGCCAGCATTGCTTCCTCTTTGACCCAAATTATTTGAATGCACGGTTTTAAATCTCCAACTAGTTCATTATAAAAGTTATCCCTTTGTTACTAATTCTAAAGTTTTGACTTATAAAGGACATGACTAGAAAGAGTCTACTTTTTAAACTTACTGAGGTTTCCTTGGTGGGATTGTGAACTGGTGCAGCCACTATGGAAAACATATGAAGATTCCTCAAAAATTTTTAAGAAGAGCTACCATACAACCCAGCAATCTCACTTCTAGGTATTTATCCAAGAAAACGAAAACACTAACTGCAAAAGATATCTGCATCCACGTTCACTGCAGCATTGCTCACGACAGCCGAGACGCAACACCCTAGGTGTCCATCAAAGGATGAATAGGTAAAGAGAACGTAGTGGATGCAGGATGGAATACTACTTGGCCATAAAAATAGAAGGAAATCTGTCTACGGCTATGCCACCATCGACAAGCCCGATCCCGTCTGATCTCGGAAGCTAAGCAGGGTTGGGCCTGGTTAGTACTTAGATGGGAGACCACCTAGGAAGACCAGGTGCTGTAGGCGTAAAAAAATAAAAAATTAGGGATTGTAAGCTGACAAGGTCTTTGCAATCTGTGAGGTCAACCAAGGGTCGCCTATCCTAAAAAAAATTAAAAACATAAAAAAATAAGAAAAAAAATACACTATAGCAAAACTCTTGGTAGGTAACTGAACCCAGGCTGAAGAAAGTTATTGCTTTAGGTTAAAAAGAAAAGATGCTGAAAATCAATGTCCAGATATCCCAGTCAAAAAGCTACAATAAGGAGAAAAAAAATAAATTATAAAGATGAGAGAAGAAATAAGTGAAATAGAAAACAGGTGTTCAATTTAAAAAATGGAGAAAGCCACGGGGGTCCCATATGCCCTTGAAAATACTGACAAAGTGACTAAACCTCTAGCAACGCTGATCGAGAATAAAAGAGAGACATCAAAAATTACCAATATCAGGACTGAAAAATGCACATAACTACAGATTTTATGGACATTAAAAAGATAGTTCAAAGATATTATCAATAATTTTATGCGAAACTGTAAATTTAGATAACGTCAAGTCATTGATAAAAGAACTTAACAAACCAGATCTAAGAAGAAATAGAAAACCTGAATACTCCAATTATCTACAGTTTTAAAAATTGAATCTGGAAAAAAAATTCCCAAAAAGAAAACTCCAGGCCCAGATGACTTCACAGTTCATCCGAAACACCTAACGAAGAAATAAAACCGATGCTACACAGATTCCTGCATTTCTTAAAAGAGGGAAATGTCCTCGTTTTTGAAACCTGAATAATCTTCATACCAAAAATGAAGCAGAAACATTTACAAAAAAGGAAAACAGGAAAATCACAGGTCAAACTCTCGTCTAAGTGTTGATCCAACATATTTGCCAAATTGATCCCTGTGGTGCGTAAAGAGAGTAATATGCATCAGGACAGAGTTTAGTGTGTTTAACCCAAGGTTGGTTTAACATTTGAGAATATAGTTCTTCACGTGTATCATAAGGGGAGAGAAATCGTATGTTGCCTTCATAGATGCGGAGAATAGATGCATTTGATTAAAATCAACACTTTCATGACAAAAACCAAAACCCTTAGAAAATCAGCCATAGACTGGATTTTCCTTAATCTGATAAATGGCTCCATATTCGATGGTGAAACGCGATCTGGAGCATTGTCACGCTGAGGCCGGCAGCGGGACGTGGGGCCCAAGGTGCCGAGCGGCCCGGCCCATGACACCAGGCACAGAAAGAGAGGGCACGGGTGAGGGGACGGGAAGGAGGGATCCCACATGATTCACAGGTGACAAGGACACACACGTCGAAACCCTGGAATCCAGGACTCTGGATCCCATTAAGAAGCGTTTACAAGAAAAAAATGAAGGTGGACGTCTGCCCGGCACCGCATGGCTGGCAGCAAAAGCTGGGCACAGATGGCACATGAAGATGTTTAAAGAAACAGGAAACACACTCTGGATTTCTATCCACATTAGTATTTGTTGTGTGTGCACGGGAAGCTTGCAGGTTATGGGCAAAACTGTCCACAGAGCGGGCAGGAAAAAAATGCGGGGACAGGAGGGGTTAGGAGGACGTGGATTGCATCTGGAGGCTTGGCACCAAGAGGCATGCCCTGTGTCCTTCTGAAATTCAACACAACTGTAAAGGGACGTGCAGGACTGTCGTTTTGACACGGTCAGCGGTGTATCTGTCTCCAGGTCTTTACGCTGTCACGTCCTCCAGTGGAGACGCAGCATCATCATAACCCTCCTCAGGCACAGACTGTCCATCCGTGAGGCTCGCCACCTCTCCTGAAACGGGCACACGAGATATCATGTCACCACACTGCCCAGAGGCCGTATCTGGCCTGTTAAGTGCCCTCTTGTTAGGGAGGCAGACACATGTCACCGAAAAGCACTTGACAAAGCATCTGGGCACCAGGGATCCTCAGTCATCCTGGCACAGCACAGGGGCCGGCTCCACCACACCCACCTCCCGGCGGACCCGCAGCCGGCTGGGTGCCGCAGAGCGGGCGCGCCTCAGGTGTCCCCACATCGCGGCTCGCCTGCCAGGGCCCCAGCAGCCCGCTCTGCCCTCACTGCTCTCCCCACCATGGGGCCTCACACCCAGGTGCCCTGTGCTCAGCATCCCCCTCCTGGTGGGCCCTCCGGAGCTGGGGACACACCCGCCGCGACCACCGTGGCCGCAGCCTGGCCCTCCTCACCCGGGGCCCCGTCCTTGCCCTCCAGGATCTCCTCGTACAACGCGGCCAGAGGCAGCTCCTCGATGACGTCATAGGTGGGCTCCCCAGGAGACACCTCTGCGCTCCCCAGATCTGAGGCGGAGTTGGGCAGGGTCACCAGAGCCAAGTGACGCCGCCGTGAGGGGGCAGGACTTGGGGCCAGGCCCCCAGGGCCATCCTGCCCCGGCCCCACCCCCTCCTCAGGAAAGCCGGGTGCTGCTCCCCACTGAGCTTCAATGTGGTGCCCAGGTACGACACCCTGGGGCTCAGCTCAGAGTCCCAGGGGCCCGAGGCCAACTAATTTCTAAGTCATTCTCTTTGGCCAATAAAAGGTCACCTCAGGGACCCAATGCCACCTCTGAGTTTCCACTCGTCCCTCCCAGGCCAGCCGCTGGGACTGTGGAATGGTCGTACCTCTCTGCTGCACGTGACGCAAGCTCCAGAGGCCCAAGAGGCCCAGAAGGCCCAGGAGGAGGACTCCGAGAACCGCCCCAAGGACTGTGCTGACCACCCTGAGCGTCAGGCAGGGTTCTGTGGCTGCCAGGGGCCCAGGACCAGGCTCTGTGGCCGCCAGGGGGCCGGGGCCGGGGCCAGGCTCTGTGGCAGGAGACCGTGAGTAGTCACATGGTGGGTGAGGCATGTGCATGCCACTCAGTGGGAGAAGGTGGCCCCCAGGGCCCACGCCCTTCCCCTCAGGGGCCCCCATGTGGCTTCGGAAGTGCTGGGGGAGGCATCTGCTGAAGCCTGCCAAGTAGAGTGCCCCAGAGTCGGCCAGTGTGAGTGTGGGGGCCCCCAGTTTCTGCTCTCATGGGGCAGTGCCCCCTTGATAAAAGTGACTCTCGTGGCCCCAAAACAGAGGCTCGAGAGGAGCCACAACAGGTGACTCATGGGCACGGGGTGAGACCTCTGCCGGGAGAGGCTGCCCGTGGGACGCGCTGCTGCAATCGTTACTGTGGAGCCTTTTGTGCTCTGCAAACAATGAGGTGCACAGCTTGGGAATAAAGACATTGTCCAAAATAACAGAGGCCACCGCATCGCCCTGGACCAAGGTGACACTACTCTCCAAGAGCAAACATGGATTGTGGGTAAAAACAAGAGATATCCCCAAAATATTAGCAGAAACCAAAACAGCCTCTTATCCCAGGAGACGGCCACCACCGGGGACGTTTCCCAAGGCACAGAAGGAATAGCGCGATTTCGGCCGCCCACTCACGGGAGCAGACGACGCCCGCGTCCTCCTTGTGCTCGCAGTCTGTCCGTCCCCACGGCTCCGCCGGGCAGGCCCACAGGGACGCCTCGCTGCCACCGCACCCCACCTCGTCCAGCCACACGGGGCCCGAGCCTGGGCCAAAGGCCGCCCCTGCCGGGGCGCCCACGGCCCGGCCACAGCCCAGCTGGCGGCACACGACCTCCGCGTCTGCCAGGTCCCAGGAATCGTCACACACGGTGCCCCAGGAGCCGGCGCGCCAGAGCTCCACGCGGCCGGAGCAGCCGTCCTCGCCCCCGCGCACGCGCACGGCGCCCTCCTCTGCGGACACAGGAGCCCGGGTCAGCAGGTACCGGGCAGGCCCCACAAGGGACAGGAAGGGTACAGGGCACACACCTGGGCAGGTCTGAGATGCAGAACAGTTGAGGGTCTCTCCAGGGTCCTGAGGAACTGAGCCCTCCTTCTCTGTGTAAGAAATTAGGGTCCATCTGATATTTGCAAGGTGAACTGCTTCAAATACTGTGAAATACGTTTCTTTCCCTTTTTCTTTTCCCATCGCCAAGAATTTCTGCTTCTAAAGCAGGGGTCCCAACCCCCAGGCGGCAGACTGGTACCGGTCTGTGGCCTGTTAGGAACCGGGCCGCACAGCAGGTGAGCGGGGGGCGAGCCAGCAAAGTGTCATCTGCATTTGCAGCCGCTCCCTAGCGCCGGCATCACCGACTCAGCTCCACCTCAGATCATCGGGCATCGGATTCTCACAGGAGCACCGGTCCCCGGGGCCACAAAGGTTGGGGACCGCTGCTCTAAAGAAAGAGCACTATATACATTTAGCCAAGGGGAACCCATAGGTTGAGGGACCCTACACTGTCCTCAGCTTCTCCAAGAGGGACATTCTCTACCAGAAGCCTGTAGAGCCATGGTCAAGGGCATGGCGGGCAGGGGACAGGAGCAGGAGATGACTCCAGATGACCCAGAACTGCTCAGACCTTCGGGGCAAGGACGGCCCCCTTGTGGGACCAGCGCACCCCAGAATTGTAAGGTAAAGTGGAAGTGTTCCTCCCAGAGAAGAAGGGGCCCGGGCTGTGTTCCCTGCAGTGGATGCGCGACAGGATAGCCCTGGGGCACCGCCCCCCAGACGGCGAACACACATAGCCCTGCTCATCACCTGCACACACCACCCAGGCTTCCATGTCGCTGGAGCAGGACTGCTGGTCCCAGGGAGACGACGGGCACTGCCACAGGGACGTGTCGTGTCTGTGCCGGCACTGCACGGAGGTCACCCAGAGGGCCTCGGGGGTCCTCTGGGACACTGTCCCAGCCCGGGGCCACCCATGGGGCCCACAACCCAGCTGCTGGCACAGGACTCCCAGCGTGGCAGAGCTTAGGGTCAGGCAGAGGCCACCCCAGGACCCGTTATAGAACACTTCGGGCCGTCCGGCGCAAGGCTGGCTGCCGCCCTGCAGCCTCAGGTCGGTGAGCCCTGCGCAAGGAGAGGAGGGTCAGCGGGCCGCCCCTGGGGCGTGGGGTGGCGGCGGGAGGCCGCACCCACCTGCGCAGAAGACGCCGGCGTCCTCCTTGTGCCCGCAGTCGTGCCGGCCCCAGCCCCGCGACGGGCACTGCCACAGCGCAGACTCTTCGCCCCCGCGGCCCAGCTCGTCCAGCCAGATGGTCCCGGTCCCCGCACCGAAGTGCGCGGCCCCCGGGGCGCTGAGGGCGCGGCCACAGCCCAGCTGCCGGCAGACCACGTG